CAGAAGTTGGTCGACGATTCGACGACGAAGGGAATATTGATGAAGGCTGGTGATTTGATGGAGGTTTATAATCGGGTGTTGAGTGACCATTAGATGACGAGTGATGTGTTGGTACTGTTTGGTATCGAGAAGTTGATGAATAATAACTTGGAGTAGTATGATGCCTGTTTGGTCAATTATCTCATTCTCGGAAATCAAAACTTACTTTGGATCAATATTGCTCAAATATTTGATGGTCAATCGATCGATTATCATTTTTGAAGCAGAAATAAGTTTGAGTGGATTAAGAACATCAATTTTTTGGAATTGTCATTTCATATTAGCCCTTTTTAGAGGTCCCAAAAGCATTAGAGTCATTTTATATTTTTGAAAGCATCGTCTCGGATTTATTCTTGTTTCTATTCTCTGAAAGCTTGGCCAGAACCTCGATCGGTTTCGCCGAAAATTGAGAGAACGGCACATTTTATACCATGTTGACCACAATCGATACAACGATCTTTCTCAATGCTGACCAAAAACATTAAATTGATAAATCAACCTAATAATTATCATTCAATGCCCTCAGGCTTGATTAGTTGAAATAATTATTTAAAGCAATTATCTCTGGTAGAAAATGTTTAATGAATTAATTGTTCGAAAACACAAAAGTTTGTTTCAGTTCGGTTTTTTCTTTGATTGAAAGTCAAATAATTATTCTTCAATTCGTATTAGCATATATTTTTTAGAATTATTAGTTACAATGTTTTAAATCCTTAAGTAATCGATTGTCCCTAGGATAAAATTGAGCTTTATAACAATAATTGTCTTGCCCTAACCCCACCCTTGAGGAAGTTATAGATTATAATTTAAACTTGTATTCACCCTTCAAGTACTCGCTATAAGAGAATTGGTTATATCATTTGATCGTTTAGTGAATCAATTTGCTCAGTAACGACGATTTTGTGCTCAATTCAACTTGTTGTACCTTTGATTGTCTTAAGACAAAGATAAAGATAAAAATTAATTTTCGTGTTACCAACTGACCAAAAGCGCAACATTATGTTTTGGTCATTTTTTATTTTTCTGTCATTATCATTCGCAGTTGGAGATTCGCATCAAATTCTAGAAAATCGTGAGTAACAATTATCCTTTATTGTATAAATTTGTCTAATCTAATTTCCAACTGATTTAATTTCATTCTACATTGATAATACATAAAAGTGGACACAAATTTTTGTCAGTAAGTTTGAAATCATGTTCATTTGACAGACTCGCGTGTTCAAATACAAATGCATTGAAATACGAATCATTTGTTATTCAACTGTTTTCTTCAATAATCGCGTATTCGAAAAAATCCTGAATCAATCCATTACTTTTCCTCTTTTAGTTATTTGTTTCTAATATTTGATATCTGATATTTGCTTCTCTTCTCATTCTTTTCTTTTACTTCTGTTCTTTTCCCCTCTCTTCTTTTATACCTCCTCCTCCCTTATTTTTTTCTCGACCTTTAATTATTAACGCAGATTCTCCTCGATTCATAACAATCGATCCTAAGTCTTTAGTAGATAAATGTCAATTCGTTGGTTATCAATGTCCGAGTTTGGTACAATTTGAACAAGGACTTTGTACTGATTGTGGTTCGGATGGCTCCAAATGTGCTCTTCTTTCCACTTCTATTGCAGATGAACAAAAATTAGATTGGAAACCATCGCATAATCATTTGAATGGAAATTATTATCTTGCATTACATGATAAAGCTCCTTATTGTCGTAAGTACAGCTAAGCATGAACTTATACAGCTTATTTCTCAATTTTAACAATATCTTTAATTTTAAAGTTCATCTTTACGGAATCGAGATATATTTGAATAACGCTACGATACCACCATTTTCGAAATTCATTCTTGATTTAGAAGGAACCAGAGAAAAAGTCTATGGAATTAGTATATTAGATAACTTTGCATACTCTGAGTACGAAAGAAAGTTTACTTTTCTTTTGAAAACTCATCGGACATTTGGCTCTATTGAAAACGCAACAGCTAAATATAACCATGGTATTACATTGGAAACAATAACTCCGCAAATCGGAGACATAAATGTTAAGTATCTGAGTAATATTGATCCAAGGTAAGTTCTATTTGATCTTGTTTATTTAAGTTGAATTCATATTGCAAAGCTATTAACGCAAGTTCAACATTGTTTTATAACTTTATGCTCAAAATAGAATCCGTCAAATTGAATCAACTTATCTTTCACAATATCATGGTAATGCTACCCCTATCGGTTTCGGAATTAATGACGGAAACTTTTTTGAAAATCATCGGCCAAAAAATGGCGGCACATATATGATTAAGTGCTAATGTATTTAATGTACATAATATTCATATCATGTAATGTATGGAGAAAACGATTTCAACAATTAAATATTTGTAACTAAAAATTCAAAATAAATTTTTCTAATATCTTTTGAATTTATCATTTTGATCTTTTTGTTTTTGACTTAAATCCTTAGCATAAATTCGTTTATGCATAGTAAACCGTTTTACTGTCTTAAAATAAGAGGAGAAACGTGTGAATTTTAAAAAAACGCAGTAAGATGAGCGTTAATGGTTTGACTTGGCTAGAAAACTTCGTTGTGTGCTCGCAAGTAATAAGACATTGTATTACCAATTTAAATGATACTCGATAAGATACACGGACTCAGAAGTTATTATAGCTAAAGTAAGATAGAGAGTTGATATGAAATCATTTAGAGTAGAATTATGAACAAGGATGTTTGGAAAAAGAGGGCCAAAAGCTAAAAAATCGTTGAACACAATGGTTAAGAAATGTGCTAAGGCTGGTACTTTTGCGACAAAGTGACCACAGGATTTTTTCGGTTTAATTTCATAAATTTTTCAAACTACAGATGAAAATTTCACATTTTCTGTCACAAAATCATCATCTCTTGTTTATCTCGTACCAAGTTTGTTCATTCAATTTTTAGCTGTTTGACCTCTTTTTTCAGAAACCCTTTTATAACGATCAATTCTTTAAATATTTTCCACCAGAGATAATTACTTTAAATAATTATTTCAACTAATCAAGTCTGACGGGCATTGAATGATCATAATTATTACGCTAATTTAGCAATTTGAATGTTTTTGGTGCGCATTGAAAAATACACCTGCATTTAACATAGAAACATGGTTAATTTTGGAAATTTCTTAAATAAACTCAAAATCTTCAATGTTCAGAATAGTCAGTTTGTTGGTTATCAATGTTATAATGAAACTACGATGAATTTGAGAACGTTCGTTGTACTGATTGTGGTCGAAATGGTATAAAATGTGCCATTCTCTCAATTTTCGGTGAAACCGATTGAGGCTCTGTCCAAGTTTTCAAAGAACAGAAAACAATTTCAATGCTTTCATAAAAAAATGAAATGACTAATAATTTTAGGGTCCCTCACTCGTGAATTCAATTTTACGTCTCCGATCAGAAGTTCATCTGATTTTCTTGTATTCTTGTTGAATTGCTCGTTGAGTTCTGGTCTAATTAGTGGCTGATTATATTCATCTAAGTTTAAATTCATTTTTAAATTGGTAATCAACGAGTTGACGAAATGTCACGTTTCGATTACCTAATCAATTGACGTTCATTCGGAACATAGAGATCGACGATAGGAATTAAAGTCAAATCACTTTGAGTGAATCCATTTTCCATGTTTCCATTTGTCTGTGATCTTTGTCTTACCATGAGTCGTGAATTTTCAAGATTAGATTCACCAAATCGACGATCTGGCCCATTACGCCAGGTAAGAGGTGACCGACTGTTACTCGCCAGTACAATGGGCTCACTAATTTCTTCACCTCTCAAGTCAGTAGACAAAAGTAAACTTGGTGTAGAAGATTTGAACATTTCGTCTAGTTTTTGATTCATTCGAACGGGTAAAAATTTATTCAGCGCTGAAGTGAAAAAAGATCGTTCCCCAAGATTACGGTAAATTTCTCCGACATTGTCACCAAGATGCAGTTTAACTCGAGGATCAGAAGAGTCTTGAGGGAAACTGGAATAAAATGAGGGTCGACTTTGTACTCGAAGTGGAGCATCGTCTCGAAATTGTTCTTGTTTCTGTTCTTTGAAAGCTTGGCCAGAACCTCGATCGGTTTCACCGAAAATTGAGAGAACGGCACATTTTATACCATCTTGACCACAATCGGTACAACGACCTTTCTCAAATTCATCGTAGTTTGAACATTGATAACCAACAAACTGACAATTCTCAGTTGAAGATTCGGAGTTCATTTCAGACTTTTCCAAAATTAACCATCTTTCGATGTCAAATACTTACATTGTATTAATATTTTCTCAATGTTCACCAAAAACATTTAATTGCTAAATTAATGTAATACTTATCCTCATTAAATGCCCTTCGGGCTTGATTAATCGAAATAATTATTTAAAGTAATTATCTCTGGTGGATTTATGTTTAATGTATTGATTCTGCAGTTTTTTGTTCATAGTTCTAATGACCAAGATTCAAAAGCACAAAAGTTTGTTCCAGTTTGATTTTTCTCTTAAGTCAAGTATCATGATATTATTATTCTTTCAATTCATAATAATAGAAAATAAATTTTTCAGAATTATTAGTTACAATGTTTATAAATCCTTGAGTCATTGTCCCGAGGATAAAATTTAGCATAAAACAATAATTGTCTAGCCCCACCTTGAGACAGTTATATATGCTAATTGAAACTTGTATTCGCCCTTCTAGTACTTGCTATAAGAGAATTGGCTTTATCATTTGTACTGTACCTTTGCTTGTCTCAATACAAAGATAAAAATTAATTCTTGTGTTACCAACTGACCAAAAGTCGCAACATGTTTTGAAATTATTAGTTACAATGTTTGTAAATCCTTGAGTAATCGATTGTCCCTAGGATAAAATAAACCTTTATAACAGTAATTGTCTTGCCCTAGCCCCACCTCGAGGAAGTTATTGATTATAATTGAAACATGTATTCGCCCTTCAAGTATTCGCTATAAGAGAATTGGTTATATCATTTGATCGTTTAGTGAACCAATTTGCTCAGTAACGACGTTTTTGTGCTCAATTCAACTTGTTGTACCGTTGCTTGTCTCAAGACATCAATAAAGATAAAAATTAATTTTCGTGTTACCAGCTGACCAGAAGCGCAACATTATGTTTTGGTCATATCTTATTTTTCTATCATTATCAATCGCAGTCGGTGATTCGCATCAAATTCTAGAAAATCGTGAGTAACAATTATCCTTTATTGTATAAATTTGTCTAATTTCCAGCTGATTTAATATCATTCTACATTGATACAATGTAATGTATAAAAGCGGACTCAAACTTGCGTCAGAAAGTTTGTAATCATGTTTATGTGACAGACTCGCGAAATACAAGTTTATTGAAATACGAATCATTTGTTATTCAACTGTTTTTCTCAATAATCGCGCATTCGAAAAAATCTTAAATCAGTCCATTACTTTTCCTCTTTTAGTTATTTTTTCTATTTTTGTCTCTTCTCATTCTTTTATCTTACTCTCTTCTCTTCTTCTTCCTTCTCTCACTTCTTTTTCACCTCGTTCTTCCTTCGTTTCTTCTATCTTTTTTCTCGGCCTTTAATCATTAATGCAGATTCTCCTCAATTCATAACAATCGATCCTAAGTCTTTAGTAGAAAAATGTCAATTCGTTGGTTATCAATGTCCGAGTTTGGTACAATTTGAACAAGGACTTTGTACTGATTGTGGTTTTGACGGCTCCAAATGTGCTCTTCTTTCAACTTCTATTGCAAATGAACAACAATTCGATTGGAAACCATCACATAATCATTTGAATGAAAATTATTATCTTGCAGTACATGAAAAGCTCCTTATTGTCGTAAGTACAGCTAATCATGAACTGATTATACAGCTTATTTCTCATTATTGACAATATCTTTTATTTTAAAGTTCATCTTTATGGAATTGAGGTATATTTGAACAATGCTACGATACCACCATTTTCGAAATTCACTCTTGATTTAGAAGGAACCAGAGGAAAAATCTATGGACTTAGTATATTAGATAATTTTGCATACTCTGAGTACGAAAGAAAGTTTACTTTTCTTTTAAAAACTCAACGGACACTAGGCTCTATTGAAAAAGCAACAGCTAAATATAACCATGGTATTACATTGGAAACAATATATCCGAGAATCGGAGACATAAATGTTAAGTATCTGAGCAATATTGATCCAAGGTAAGTTCTATTTGATCTTTTTTATTTAAGTTGAATCAATATCGAAAAGCTATTAACTCAACATTGTTTAATAATTTTATGCTCAAAATAGAATCCGTCAGATTGAATCGACTCTTCTTTCACAAAATAATGTTAGCACTTTCGGATTTCCTAATAAAGAATCCAACCCTCTTCAGCATGAACTACCAAAAAGTAACGACTCATCTATGAAATCATTCAAATGTATTCCTGTAATGTAATGTATGGAGAAAACGATTTCGATTTAATATTTGTATCCAAAAATCAAAAATAAATTTTTCTAATATCTATTGAATTCATCATTTTGATTGTTGAGTTTTATACTTAAATCCTTAGTACAAATTCGTTAATGTATATTAAACCATTTTACTGTCTTAAAATAAGAGAAGTAACATGCGAATTTTAAGAAAAGATGAGCGTTAAACTTGGTTAAAAAGTGTAAATCATACTCGATAAGATAAACGCACTCTGACGTTATTGTAGCTGAGTAAGATAGTGAGTTGATATGAAATCATTACGAGTATAATTATGAACAAAAACACGTAAAGAAGGATGTCTGAAAAAGAGGGCCAAAAGCTAAAAAAATCTATGAACACAATTGGTAAGAAATGTTCTAAGGCTGATACTTTTGCGACAAAATGACCAATAGATTGTTGGTTTAATTTCATAAATTTTTTTCGACCTGTAGATGACGATTTCACAGTTTCTGTCACAAAATCATCATTTCTTGTTTATCTCGCACCAAAAGTGTTCATTCAATTTTTAGCTTTTTGACCTCTTTTTTCAGAAACCCTTTGTAATGATCAATTCATTAAACATTTTCCACCATAGATAATTGCTTTAAATAATTATTTCCCCTAACCAAGCCTGAAAGGAATTGAATTATCATAATTATTACGTTAATTTAGCTATTTAATGTTTTCGGTCAGACCGATTGTGGTCAAGATGGTATAAAATGTGCCGTTCTCTCAATTTTCGGTGAAACCGATCGAGGTTCTGGCCAAGCTTTCAAAGAACAGAAACAAGAACAATTTCGAGACGATGCTTTCAAAAATATCAAATAACTCTAATAATTCAGGGTCCTTCAAAAAAGGCTAATATGAAATGGAAATTTCAAAGAATTGATATTCTAAACCCACTCAGCTTATTTCTGCTTCAAAAATTATAACCGACAGAGTTTCACTTTCAGGAAATAACTATTATTCTTGAAAATGAGTGAAAAAGATAATGCTTATGGACAAAAAAATCTCAGACAATGGCGGTAAATATACTTATCTTTTAGATTCTGAGCTAAAATTATATCTACTGACAAGAGTTACAATCAAATGGAAATATAGATGGTTGAAAAAGAATCGGAATCGAAAGTTATTGGAATACATCTGAATTTAATTTTACGTCTCCAATCAGAAGTTCATCTGATTTTCTTGTATTCTTGTTGAATTGGTCGTTGAGTTCCGGTCTAATTAGTGGCTGATTCGATTCATCTCCAGTTCAATATCATTTTCGAATGGTAACCAACGAGTTGACGAAATGTCACAACGTTTAGATGTCCTAATCAATTGATGTGCATTCGGAACATAAAGATCGACGATAGGAATTAAGGGTAATCAGTCAAGTTTCAATTCCTTTTCACATCTTGTTTTTATTAGACCAAGAAAATTGTTTGGGAGGTTAAACCGGAATTGATTATCAAAAGATTATAATCAAAAGTTGGGTTTCGAACAAAACAATTGAGTTTCGAACCCAGTTAATTGTTTTGGTATGGGCAAAAAATATTACATCAATAAATAAGATCCAAGAAAATTACAAATATTTGATTTTCTTCGTCTCACATCAAAAGTTTGTCCGATTTTCTTGTATTCTTGTTGAATTGCTCGTTGAGTTCTGGTCTAATTAGTGGCTGATTAGATTCATCTAAGTTTAAATTCATTGATTTATCATTTTGACGCGAGTCCTCATCGATATTGGTATCATTATTTGGTGAAATTTCGTTGAAATTCAAAACTTTTCCATTTGTCTGTGATCTTTGTCTTACCATGAGTCGTGAATTTTCAGGATTAGACTCACCAAATCGACGATCTGGCCCATTACGCCAGGTAAGAGGCGATCGACTGTTACTCGCCAGTACAATGGGCTCGCTAATTTCTTCACCTCTCAAGTCAGTAGACAAAAGTAAACTTGGTGTAGAAGATTTGAACATTTCGTCAAGTTTTTGATTCATTCGAACTGGTAAAAATTTATTCAGCGCTGAAGTGAAAAAAGATCGTTCACCGAGATTACGGTAAATTTCTCCGACATTGTCACCAAGATGCAGTTTAACTCGAGGATCAGAAGAGTCTTGAGGGAAACTGGAATAAAATGAGGGTCGACTTTGTACTCGAAGTGGACGGTAGTATTGTCGAACTGGTTCATCAGAAGTCCAAAGAGATGGACTTACAGGTCGACGGTTCCACAGGCCGGCCAAGGAAGAAAGAGAAGGCCTTTGGTCAGATGAAGGGGAAACGGTCGAATTAGAATCACTAACTCGACGATCAGGGACAGAAGTTGGTCGCCGATTCGATGACGAAGGAATATTGATGAAGGCTGGTGATTTGATGGAGGTTTATAATCGGGTGTTGAGTGACCATTAGATGACGAGTGATGTGTTGGTACTGTTTGGTATCGAGAAGTTGATGAATAATAACTGTTTGTACTGTGATAGTTTTGATTGTTGTGATAATTTGTTGATTGATATTGTGAAGTAGTTGAGTATGGTGATGGTGTTGTTGAGTATCGAGATGTCGAGTGATAACTAGAAGTAGTGTATTGGTTTCTATTTCCATTAGAACCTAAGTGAAAAACAAAAAAATAAGAAAAGGTTAATCATTAATTTCTTTCATTCTATCGATGGTAGTAAAGTTTTTTACCTCCACCGTAATTGTTTCCTTGTTGCTGAGGTCTATTCGGGTAAGTTTGTCCACTATTATTGTTGCCACCCTGATATTGAGTTCGATTGGAATTATTTGTGTATCCAGAGTTAGACCCTTGTTGAGTGCGATTATAACTGTTTTGTTCATAATTCGATCCCGTTTGATTGGTTTGGTGGTTCCATTGGTTCTGAGGTCGTGTTTGGTTTCGGTTATTCTGTCCATTATTAAATCGAGAGACTCCACCCTGGTTACTATCACCACGACAAGGGACAAAGTTCAATGTATTTCCACTTGAAACTGTATCAGATTGTTCTGGACATAAAACGGACGATTCATCTTGACGGATTCTATTGAAATTATAAAGCATAAATTAGAAGTTGTTGATCTTTATCTCATTCTCGCAACTCAAAACTCACTTTGGATCAATGTTACTCAAATACTTGATGGTCAATCGATCGATTATCATTTTTGGAGCAGAAATAAGCTTGAGTGGGTTTAGTACATCAATTCCTTGGAATTGCCATTTCATGGTAGCTCTTTTTAACGGCCCCAAGCTTTTCTCATATGTAACGAGATAAGTATATGTTTCACCGGGTTTAAAGCTCGAGAATGATTCTGAAACCTTGATTCCATCAGCTTTTCTCTTGGAACCATCAAGATCAAGAGTGAATGATCCAGTGTTAGAGTCAGAGTTGTTAGCCAAATGGATCTCAATTCCATAATGGTGAACTAAAAGAAGTGTCAAGAGATATTACAAATTTGGGATTAGTGATAATCAAAGAGATAATTAAAGTTATGGATCATTTGTAACTTACCACAATAAGGAGCTTTATCACTAGTCTTGTAATAGTATTTTTTGAAAGCATCGTCTCGAAATTGTTCTTGTTTCTGTTCTTTGAAAGCTTGGCCAGAACCTCGATCGGTTTCACCGAAAATTGAGAGAACAGCACATTTTATACCATCTTGACCACAATCGGTACAACGACCTTTCTCAAATTCATCGTAGTTTGAACATTGATAACCAACAAACTGACAATTCTCAGTTAAAGATTCAGGATTGACCAACATAAACCGAGGAGCAAAGTTGTGATTACATGCAACAGTCTCAGTTATTCCTAATTAAAATTAAAAGTAAACAGAGATTGACATTAGATTAGATTCTGGAAACAACAAAAAGAAATCAATATTAATCAATTACCTTTAATCAATCCTTGATTAAGAACATTGAATAATCCCTTTGTTTTACCACATGCTGGTTGACGATATCCTCCATTTGGATAGAAATCAATATCACCAACCGGGTCCTCTAATCCTAATCCTAATCAAGAAAAACAATAAATTCAGTAACACAATTAAAAAGAGTCACAATCAACATAATCAAATCTTCATTCAATCAAACTGTAAACCAGAAAAACGGTTAGTTTGAAATGGAAACACTAGAGGGCGACTCAAGATGTTCTTTTTTTTCTTCGTAAAAAAATTAACTTTAATTGCGTGATTTTGATTGAAGGCGATTCTTTATTTCAACTTACCTTCAAGAACGGCGTTCCCATAGTCAGTGTGAAGAGCGTCAACGTAATGAGCATCAGTAGGATCTAAACGAAGTGTAGTTGCATTCTTATAGAAACTCGGACCAGCGGGATCAAGACCAGTGATTCGTCCAATTTGTGGATTCTTGATTCGTTCACCTGTGTAACCGGACACATGAGCACCTAAACTGTGACCAATCAAATGGACATCGGAAAACTTCAAGCCCGAATATTGGTTAAGCTTCTTAATGAAATGAGCCATCGCTGCACCAACAACCCGAGTGTTAGCAACCGCTTGGAAATAGTTGAGTGTTTTTGCTCCATTGGACCAATCGACTCCGAAAACATTGTATCGATTTGGTTGACCTTCAAGAATTAAGTCTTTAATTCCCTGAAAAGATGTGTCAATTAAAGAGAAGGTAAGTAAATTACAGAATAACAAGATTAGCGTTTACAGTTGAACAGAAAATCGTTAATCACATCACATTAGAAAGACTGTGAAAATGTCGAGGAAAATACTCACTCCCATCCAATCCATTTCATTAAAAGAACTTGTAAATCCATGGATGATAAATTTAACCTTCTTTCGTGGATTAAATGGTGAATTGTTCAACTGGAATTGTTCTAAATTGTATTTGAAATCAATCGAACTGTATGGATTTTCCGATGTGTACAATCTAAATGTTATATTAATTTCCTCTGGACTTTGTGGTATAAATGTAATCGGTCTACCATTTAAATCAGCGAAATCACTTGTTCCAAAACAACCCAAGGCTCCGAAACATTTTTCAGAATTATCTGAATGACAAGACACAGAAAATCAAATTAACCATTCAAATAGCAATTCAATAGTACATTTTGTTAGTTAACTCGATCGATATTAGATTAATATGAGACGAGCAATCAACTACTTAGCGGATTAATCACAAAGTCAATTTATCTCAATTGTTGCAAGTATCAAATCAAATAGTTTCATGTGTATGCAACAATTAATTTCCTATTCAATGATTATCATGATCATCAGTTAATTGAACCTTAATTCAATTATCTATCAACCATTACTAGTCAATTTATTGAAAGGTAAATCATCATAATTAATCAAACATGTTAATATCAATGAATACAAAGTAATCATGATATGAAATAGGAAAGTTATTGATTGCCATTAATTAGATTTTAATATTATTCTAAATTGTTGATCAAGTCAATTTGTCTTGATACTGAAAAAGTAATTCAAATGACAATCAATTACTTTTATTGATAATTATTCAAATTGATGATTGAACTTAAAAGTAAAGGTTCTGATTAAATTAGATTTAAATTGCTAATTAACGTCGACAATTAAAAGAAATGACTTAAAGACATAAATACTAAAGACTTAATTGTCAAACTAGTATATCATCGTGCTAACAGTAACAATTAAGGAAAATCATTTCATCTAATCAAATCAACAATCATCTAGTTGATTAATATTGTTTACATTTTCTGGTTTATCTATGATATTTTTTAAGTTGCTAACAGCCTGAGGTGTAAATAATTAATTCACAAGGGCAAAATTGAGGATAATTAACTAATTCACTTGGTTGATAATCAAATAAATTAATGAGATGACATTGGTTAGTCTGATGAGCCAAAAATAGTTAATCAAATTGTTGATCAACTGATTGAATGTTGCACAATTTGCTCGGTAATTATTGATTAGATTTTACAATCTAATTAAACTAATAAACCATCGAGATTTACTTTAAGCTTTTAAATCAACAAATGTGATCAAAGAGTTAACAATCAAGAGATAGGATCAGGTAAACTAAATTAATTATTAATGATAAGTTAAAGTTACACTTAATCAATTAATCACTAAATGGATCAGTTAAATTGTTATTACTTACTGTTTGCAGTATCATTTGAATCCGAGTGGACAAGTTTAATTAGAAATGACAAGTAAAGCAAATATTGTAATGATTTTATCATTATGATGATTTATAAACAATTAAAAAAAAACAGAGACTCAACATCAAGATGATCAGTTAATCACAATTAATCAACTTCTCACAGAGAAGCAATTGAAAAGAAAAAGAAAAAGAAAAATATAAATGTATCAAAAGTTGCGAGCCAAAAATTAGTTAATTGTTTCTTTCAGTAATAAACTAATTGGTTTGTTGATTGTTGAGGGTTTAAATAAAGTTTAAAATTAAGTGAGTGAGTTAGTGAGTAGATGATGATGATAATCAAAGGAGAAGATAAAGAAAAAGTTAGAAGGAGGGAAAACAAAGACTAGAGGAGTGGTCAGTCTATTATTCACATTGACCAAAAGGGTATAACTAGTTTAGGGGGTTGATTTAATTTCTTGTGCACAATTAAAAGTAACAACAACAACAATCAACGTATAATAATGGATGTGAAAAAAAAGAGTTAACATCACACCGAATAAAAAAAGACCTCAGGCAATTTAACCAAGAATTAACTCTAAGAGAGAGAGAGAGAGAGAGAGATGATAAATGATGAAGATGTTTACATTATGATGATGATGATGATGATGATGAAAAAAAGAAAAGTTAACAAGGTCTCAGAGTAAAAGGACAGAAAAATTAAGTTGATGATGTTTGTTGTTCTTGAAACTGGTTTCATTATCATGCTAAGGATGAAGATGATGTTGATGATGATGATGATGATGAATATACAATTGTTGTCATCAACCTTATTCCCATATGAAGATTATGGTGATGAGGATGAACTTTTTTTTTCTACCGAATTTCTAATTTCAAATGTAATCCTAATCCTAAACAACAACAACAACAACAATCAGAAGCTTCATGAAAGTAATCGTGGTGTTTTCATGACGATCAAATTGATGCTATTACCTTGTTGGCATCTCTTTTTTGTTACCTTATCAATGAATATGATGATAGGGTTTTGATTATTTGGATTACATCAGTTTGATTGTCAATCAATTTTTGTATTTACTTGTAATACATAAACAACTTTGTGTATCCATTGAAAGTTGTTATCATTTCCATTTCCTCTTATCATGTTCATCATCTAATCCAATGAAAATACTAAATCATTTTCATGTTGATACACTTACTTACCTTGGATTAATCATCTTGAGATTATCTTAATATCTTTATGTTTAGTTGAAGATTTTGTTTGTTTACATTTATCAATTTGTCTGGTCAACTTGATGGTCATTCAGTTGGTTAGTTAGTTGAGATATTTGTTGATAATTTTTCATTGTTTCCATATCGATTTGATTACCTTTTTGTAAATTGATTAAATGAAAAGCGGAAAAAGGAAATGAAATGATGATCATCATCATCATTTTTCATTATCATCATTATTATCTTCCAATAAGCTTGACCTTTCATCGTTATAATAATGAAATCAATCAATAATATTAATCTCATATTCTGATAACAATTGTCTCAACAATGTTTACCTATTTGTTGATTATAATCATTAAATTGTTGCTTTAACATGAAAAAAAATTTCTTTTTCGTATTCAAAACAATAAAGTTAAATCGTGACTTGAAATTATCATGATAATGATAATGGTCAACAATCAAGATGATGATGAAATGATAGGTTGTTGTTTGCTGTTGCTGTTGATATGATAATGGTCAGTTTAATGGTCAGAGGAAATTGTGATTAACATGAATGAGAAAAGGAAAAAAAATCAAAATCAAAATCTCATCTCTTGTTGTGGAAAAATGATTATAAATTCAAATGATTAATTGTAATCATCATGATTAACAGGGTGTTCAGAGTTCAGAGAATATTTTTTATTTGTAATAATAATACTAAGATTGTATTTTGATTGTCTTCAATTAGAGTAATTGATTGAATTTAAATTGAAACTTTTTTCTTGCGATTCTCGTTTCCATGAAACTTATCCATCAATTTGCCTGAGGCAATATGAAAGATTATATTTCTCAATTGTTGAAGCATTGAGATTGAATTAAGTTCAGAGAAAATGAAATCAAAGTGAAATCAATTTAATTGTCAATAGGTGATCCCAATGATTGAAAATTCAAATTCAAATTCAAATATTATTAGTTCAATATTTTCTAGTGCTTTGAAAATCTCATTACAATTAACTGATTTTTTTAATTCAACTCAAAGGTTAACAACAACTAATCATTATAAGAAATTGATTAAATATTAATAAATGATACTGAATATGAACAGGAAGAAATTTTAATTACTATTAAAATGTAATCTTGTAATTGGCTAAATTGTTATAAATTGTTCAATTTGAATAATTGATCATTTTCAGCCCAAACAAAAGTAACAACAATTGTGAGTCAATTGAATTATTCATGTTAACAATTAAGGTTCAATGTGTTGATTAACAGTCAATTCCCGGTGATTCAGATAACAACAAGAATCCAAATTATTACAATTAATATTCAATAGTCAATATAATGTAATGTAAATATTAATAGTAATCAAAAAAGGAAACCTAATGATTAAAACTAAATCAAATATTTGATTATGATAATTGAACTAAAATGAAGGAGGAAGAAGATTAAATTTAACGTTCATCTTGATAGATGGTTTGTTTTTACTTAAGATCTGGTTCCTAGATGATGATGTTAATCATCCTCTTCCTTTTTTCATCCTCATCCTCATCCTCATCTTTACATCTTATCATCCTGATCATCATTGTGAACCCATGGAAAGCAAATAAAAAACCTTTGAAATCTATTGTTCCAGTCTGAAGGTACATCTTATTACATTATCAATATGAAAGTGTTGAACATGAATTATTAGAGAGTAAAATAAAGAGGAAGACAAGATGATAATGAAGATAAAGACGATGATGGTAATGATGAAAGATATAACTGAGAGATACCTTGAAAAATGATCTTTATGGAACAACAAAGAGAAGAGCTAAAAGCCAGGAGAGTTGACAAAAATTGTTCGAATGACATGGAGTGAGAGAGAAAAGGATATAAAGGTAATAAGACGAAAGGGGAGAAATGTAAGATGATAAGAGAGAAGATGGGGAAAAAAAAGAAAGTAAAGAAAGAGAAAAACAAATGAAAGACAAAAGGCATGACTGAAACGAATTCACCATGTTTAGTATCAATTTCATGTGAGGAGGAAAAAACGAGGACTCGAACTCATTGGGAAGCCTCAGAATTGTGAGTCGACTCATTTTCATTTGTTATAACTTTTTTAGCTTTTCTCAATATTCCCATAGGAAAATGATGATGGAGGAAAAAAGAAGATAAAGAAAGAAAGAAAGAAAGAAAGAAAGAGAGAGAGAGAGAGAAATGATGATAAGTAAAAGGCAACTGAATAGACCGCTCGTAAATCCAATGATAATGTCGATTGAGTTTGGAGTTTGTTTTTTTTCACTCCCAGGATATGAAAAGTATTCTTACCATTAAACTGAATGTTATTCATCATTTCTCATTAAAATGATTAACTTGATTGTGATGAAAATTAATAAATATTTATATATAAACGTTAACCAATAGATAATAATAAATTAAAATCCAATGGATTGTAACCAGCAAACGATAATCAATCAACAATCAACCATGTAAAAGGCTCAAAAATCAACAACTAATCAGTTTTTTCGTGTCTTGTTAATTGTTCATCATCTCTTTTGTCCTAAATTGTTTCTTTTTCTGCCAATACAATCACAATAATAAACCTAAGCCTTATCATCATCATCATAATCATCAACCTAATTGCAATATTACCTGAATAATCAGTCGACTATTAATACAACGATAATATTCAAATTCCTTATTATTTATCAATGAATCAAATTTGATATAATTTGTTTCCATTAATCTTGATTGCGTTTCTCCTTAATCTTCAATTTAATCAATTGTTATCACCTTATTTTCATTTCTAGTTTCAAGTTTGTTCATTTTACTTTTATTCTGGTTTTCATTATATCTCCCATGTTATATTACATGTAACCAGAATTTAAACTCATTCCACAAATATTGTTAACCATTACATTTTCTGGATCGATACTAAAATCCACTGGACCTTGACTTAGCAGTGAAAATAAGAGTCTCTCAATCCTTCATAACATTTACTTTACCCTTTCTAATCCTTTTAATCTCATCCTTAATCTTAAAGTAAATTCTAATCGACATCATCATCATCATCATGGTCAAATTAATTCCATTGAGAAATTTTATTCTTCAAAAATTAGCCCTTGTGATTATCATCCTCATCTTATCGATGGTTAATATTTATATTAAAGGTAAATAAACAAATCTAATTCTTAATCTAAATCCTTCACCTTGTTAATCAAGTTACAAATCTTAAATCAAATAACCTTCAACCTTTATAACTTCATGTCTTATATTGTTTACCAAATAAAAACAAGAAAATTATTCTGATTAAGATGAATGTTAATTAAACACCTCAAGTATTCAAATCTCAACGATAATCCGAGAGAGAGAGAGGAAAATTTGAATTAATAACAATCAGATAATAAAACATATTATATAATCAGTGGGAGATTAAACAATGAATTCAATGTATTATCATGATAATCATGTAAAGGTTATCAGGTTAATGAGTTTATTTTTATCTCTATGATAATTAATATAAACTAATAATAATACTTATTGAATTGTTTCACTTTATTATTGCCTTAATTTGAAATGGTTAATCCCTTAGATTGGATTAAGTTACAAATACAATGTTAACAAAGTTCAGTAATAATTTTCAGCACTGAATTTTATCAGAATGAAATAATAATAATCATGAAGTAATAGTATAAGAACTGAATGAGATTATTGATTCATTTCCATGGTACAATTGAATGTATCCCATGAAAAATCAATAACCTTTTTTAAATGTATTATATTCAGTTACAGAGTTGATTCAGTTAAATTATTTTGTATTCATTGTTAAATTTTAGACAGATCCTTAATTATATCAATGGATAATATTATTACCTTGGTCAGGGTGAAAATACTTTTTAGTTAATTAGTGAATTTGTCACCATGGTAACCAAAATCTTCAGGGAATCTGAGATATCATGGTGATATTATTTATTTTTATTCAATAATATTATTATTTCTAGATTGTTGTTATTGTTATTCAATGAAAATATAGTCAATTGTTCATTTAGATACATGAATATTGTATTACAATGCTATTAGTGTTAATTGTGATAATTATGTTGATAATGTTCATCATCAACTTGATTGTTATTCAATCTTGTATTGATAGTCAATGTATTTATTACTTTATGATAACTTGAAAGTTAATCACAATTACCTTATAATTGTTACAATTTGTTTGATTTACAGTTCAATAATCAGCAACATCAGTTCAACAATTAATTCTGTTAAATTTAATCAATTATTAATGAGATTTGAATCATTATTGAGTAAAGATGATTCAATCGTAATAGGAATTGGCAGTTCAATTTTCTGGTCCTTTTCCATTGAGAGTTGATTACAATTGACACTAATTTGTTGATGGTTTCAATTAAATTTAGTGTATTACATTGATAGTATCCTTTTGATTCTTGATTAATTTAATCACAACAATTATCGAGAGTTTGAATTTCTTTCATTATCATTTAATTATTTATAATTCTAGGAAATTGGAAGACAAATAATTCTGATAATGATGATACTGGACAATCGAGAATCATTAATCAACAATTAAAAGAAAATAATGATAATGAAATAATTAACAACTTGAAGACAATCAATGATCATGAAAAGTTGACACAATCAAAATTAGTGGGAAAATTATTGTTAAATTATAATAACAATGATAATAATCAAGAAAATATAAATAATCCAGAATATCGTGGAGTTGATATTGTTAGAAGGACAATCAAATCAATAGAAGAAAATCAAAATAATCAATTAAATGTACTACAATCAAGACGAAAACGTAGAAATCTTTTGACAATCAATGAAAAAGATAATCAATCATCACCAACACAATCAACTTCCGTCTCAAATGATGAAACCAATGGAGAGATCAAAGTTAATACAAGTGAACCAATTCAACCAACTAAATCACCTAAAACTAAGACACGAAAATCCAAATCCAAATCAAAATCAAAACCATCAACGGAAGGTGAAGGGTCAACATCAACATCAACAACCCCAACCACAACCACAACCACAACACCATCATCAACATCAACCAATGAAACTAATCCAGAATCTGGTAAACCCAAAACCGGGAAAAAAAAGAAAACAAAATCCAAAAAAGTTACACAAGAATCAAAGTAATTATCAATACCGATTCTATTTTTATGCTTTATATTGTTGAAAATTAATTTCCCTTGTCAATTCTGATCAGTTAATCACAATTTAATTCAACGCTCCTTGAGAATCATACTAACCACAACTCAATTGAAACTACTCCTCGGATTGTTAACCAACTATTAATTTTGATTAAGTAGCTAAGGTTACCAGTCAGGAATAAATTAGATTAACATCAGATTAAAGAAATGATTAACTGGTCAGCTTATTATTATCAAGGTACATCATCAGATATGATTAACAAATTGTGATACATTAAGTGAATACAAAAACAAACTAAATCTTTAATCTAATACCAAAATGTTTAATTCATGATTCTATTATCTTATTGATTGTTGTTGATTAAATTCTAGAAATGATACTATAACTGAATCGCCGGTAACAATACGAAGTCACCTTCCACCTAAAACAATGATTCCATTAATTAAGAACGTTAAAATTAAGGACTGTACGGCTCCGGCCTACAAAGAGTTTCCGAACGATATATTTGGTAATAAGGCTCGAAAACACGGCGCGGTCATTGTTCACATCGCGGTTGCTTGTTATATGTTTTACTGTTTGGCAATTGTTTGTGATCATTATTTCTTAACCTCACTGGAAGAATGTTCATCGGTAAGTTAATTGTTAACAATTAATTGTTCCATTTACTCTAATTTAAGACTTAATTAACGCTCTCTTTTGTAGAGACTCAATCTATCATCGGATGTTGCTGGTGCTACTTTAATGGCCGCTGGTTCATCGGCTCCTGAGCTTTTCACAGCAATTCTAGGTATGGGTTTCAATCAGTTGATTACTCTGCTTAATTGTTATAACTAATTTACTTGGTGTGTTGATTTGAATAGGTGTATTCGTGGCCAAAGGTGATGTCGGCACTGGAACCATTGTTGGTTCCGCTGTTTTCAATATACTTTTTGTTATTGGTCTTTGTGGTGTTTTAACAGGTAAATTGATTTAATTTGATTTAATTCGAACCGTTTTTCCAATAATCACCTTAATTGTTTATCATCATCACAAAATGGTGTCAATTGTTTGTGTGTTTGTCTTGATAATTAAGCTTTCACCTTTCCAAAACTTTCATTCACTTGAATAAACTAATTTCTGGTTAATTAAGTTTTCATCTTCATCTCCTTACAAGGTTAATCAATTAATCACTTAGAGTTGATTGTTTTTTTTTCTCGTTTCACTCAACTCACTCAAATAACCAATTCATCCAGCAATTTAATACCAAACTTGATTAGTTGATTAGTTTTACCATTAAAATCATTATATCTTCCAAGCCAATACCAACAATCAACGCTAGTTAATCCCAAAGGAAAATTTTTAAACACAATCAACTTAAATATTAAACTAAATTACACTTATCCATTAACTAACATTATATTGTTGTTGTTGTAACAATCAACATTATCCAAATAGTTAAGATTAATGATTAATCATAATAATAAACTTGCTGGTTTCTTGAGTTTTTTGTAATCTCTTCTTGATGATTTATTGATTGTCATCGACATAATTGTTAATCATAAAGTCATATTTAGGTTAGCTTATTGTTATCATCGTTGATTGGACATATTTTAAATTGAAAATGAGTTGATTTACTTAAAGTTTTCAAACTGAATTTAATTAATACTTCAAAAGTAAATCAATTAATAATTACATTGATGTTGTAACAGTTATAAAGAAAAATTAACAACATTGTAATATTGATTGGTCGTTACTGTTATTGTTTAATTGTTTCTAATGGTGATAATTAACAACAATTATTTGAAAATTGTCTCATTAATTTTACTTTTCTCCTGAATAATTTAGCCTCGACTGTTTTAACTTGGTGGCCAGTTGCAAGAGACTCAAGTTACTACACATTCACAGTTTTAGTCCTCATATTGGTCAGTATTTGTTATTACTGGACATTGATGATAATTGTTATTAACTGTTTTCTAATATTATATTCATCTAAAGGTTTCATATGATGGCGAAGTGACAACTTTTGAATCGGCACTTATGCTGATATTTTATGTTGGTTATATTGTTCTGATGCATTTTAACCATCAAATTCGTGATCTGGTCACTACCAAATTAAAAGAAAGAGGTTTTCTGGCCACTATACAAGAGGAAGTGGGAGAAATTGATGAAATTAAGCCACAAAGTCAATCAGTTGCTTATTACCAATCAATGCAAGGTAATCTCAATAATTTAACTAAGAAAAAAACTTCGTAGACTTTGATCAATACGTTCATCAAATGTTCAATCTTTGTCTCTATATAAATATCACAATTACTAAATTGTTACAACAAAAAATTTGTCTCCCTCTTAATTAGTGGATGAATGGGGTTATAGTAATCAACAGGCAATTAGTAACAATTACAATAACTACAATTCCTATGGTAATTCATATTCAAACACTGGTGGTTACTCTTATTCCTCTGGTTTACCTCCATCCATGGACCCAAATAAAGTGTCTCTCTACGAAGCAGCTCAGATCGTTATAATCAAACATAAGCGTCTATTTCCGGCCATTTCTCGTTTCCGGGCTGCAGCAAATTACACAATCTCAGTTAACCGTAAACAAAATGGTAGTAACAATAATAGAAGTCAAAAACAACGACAGCAACAATTTAACTATAAAACAGGAGACGGCGATTCAACGGCAGGTTTATCCAAATTAGCCCGTGAAAGGATAACCTCAAGTCCTAATGTTGATGACTGGTCACTCGTACCTAATCCAGTAGTTGAAGGATGGTTACCAGTAATTAGATGGTGTATCATTGCCCCTTTACATGCAACCCTATTCTACACGATTCCTAATTGTAAAACAAGAAGTAACCTTTTCCTGGCCACTTTTCTCATGTCCGTCTTTTGGATTGCAGTTTTTTCCTACATCATGGTTTGGATGGTAAGTAGTGGTCATTATCATGATGAAAAAAAAGATAATAGGAAAATTAAATGTAAACCAAAACATTATTCAGATCACCTAGATAAGATATAAATAACAAGAAAGAAAAACGTTTCTGTTAATCAACCAGCAATTAGAAAGTTTCAAAGTTAATTAAGGTGAAAAGTTTTCATTGATAACTTTTGTTTGTCTTTTTGCTCATTCATCTAATAGGTAACTCTTGTTGGATTTACCTTCGGAATACCAGATAGTATAATGGGAATAACTTTCCTTGCTGCAGGAACATCGATACCTGATGCATATGCATCGATTCACGTCGCTCGACAGGTAAATTGAATTCACAATCAATTCATCTTGAACCTTCTCATTGAAATAAACTAACCTGTTCTCGGTTAATCTTTAGGGTCAAGGAGATATGGCTGTGTCCAACTCGATAGGAAGTAATGTTTTCGATATCCTTGTTGGTTTAGCACTTCCCTGGTTCGTTGAGACGGCACTTTGGCAACCCGGAACTACTGCGAGCATCAATAGTCGAGGATTATTTTATGCTATCATTTTATTATTTCTTTCCCTTTGTGTGACCATTTTCCTCTTCCATCATAATAACTGGACACTTAATCCTAAATTGGGATATGCCTTACTTGCCACTTATGCTGTTTTCCTTGTCTTTTGTGGAGCTCTTGAGCTTAATCTACTTGGTTACGTTAATCCAGTTATGTGTGATGAATGAGCGTCTTAATCATTATTATTATCGTTATGATTGTATGTATCATCAATGTAGCTTTATTTATCTTAATGATGGACACTCAACTTTTTATTTGAAAATCAAAGAGCCAATTTTGTGTGACAATCGCGATTAACGGTAAATTTAAGTGATGAAAACAAAACTTTTCAACAACTACAAACCTTGTTGTTAAATTGTCACTTAATTGTTGATCATGTAAAAGATAACAAATCTGATATCTATTGGAAATTAAAACAATTAATAATCTACCATTAAATTTAATTGTAATAAACAATCAAGTTCAAAGATTTGTAGTGTGTTTTTTGTGTAATCAATTGATTTAACTAAATCAAATGAGCAATATTAATATTTAAACCAATCAAATGATATGAATTATGTACATTAAGATTCAACTACCAAAATTAAAGAGACAATTTAAAATTACAACAATTAACACTTGGCTTTTATATTATGTGTATATTAGTTGATTGTGTTTCTTAATCATGAGGAGAGGGGAAATTTGAATTTATCAATTGAATTGTTAACAATTAGATTGCCAATTAAGTTAAATCTTATTTGTACGATTGTTGACCCAAACAATTGAACAGAATGATTAAATGTTATTCGTACAATCAACTTAACAATTAGTTGACAACCTTGAGATTGTGATATTTGATTAACTATTAACACTAGGAGTTATTTTCCCATTTAAATCATTCTGGTGTTTGTCCTTGATTGTTGCAAGAGTTTCATTTCATTTCTAGAAATCAAATTATCAGATCAACTATTATAATTGACAATCAATTTTAATCTCAATTTTTTTGGTAAATTTACCAATCAACATAATAGAAATGATGAAATATATAGTAAATTAAATCCTCTTATGTTATCACAATCAATTCACATCATCTTCAAGGTTAATCAAACAATCAATTTTGATTATTTACCAATCATAGTTATATTTATTTACCTTGAAAAAAAATAACTTATTTTCTTAGTCTTGACAATTTAAAAAACTAAAATCAACAATAAACTTTTAATTTGATTTGTTAATCAATTAGTTACCTTGATTATTTAATGTTTCTCTTTTTCATTGATTAGTTAATTAGTTTATTAACTTTGTCTCAATTAAATCAGGTTAGAATTTGATTTTCTGTGATTAGTTGATTCATCTTGATACTTTTTACTTTTCAACAATTAAATCAAATTTCTCGGTCATGGTTAACGGGAAGGAATTAACTGCTCAACTAATTTATCGCTCTCATCGCAATTAAACTTGAACATTACTCGTTAATCATTAACCACAAGTATCAACTATTCAACGTTACGAACTTTTTTCTTGCAAACAATTAACTAATTGCATGTTGAATTCACTTCTGGTTTTCGGTTGATTATTTAATTGATCAGCTGCTCTATTTAATTGCTATTGACCTTTGTCACTGCAATCAACAGATTGACAATTAAATCACCAACTAATTGATTATAATTAGTCTTTTCTTCAACAATCTGAGTTTTCATTGATAACATTTCAAGCCCTTGAAATTATTTAATTGTAAATCTTAATCGGATTTGAGGGTTTGAATAATTTAGGTTAATCCTTTGGGTAAATAATGTAAATCAAAGTTTAAACCACAATTTGTTTGAGTAACGTATAATTGTTGCAATCCGAAACAATTATTTAATTGTTAATCAATATATTGATTTGAGTTCATTTACCAGTTTAACTGTTGAAACCATTTCCAAGTTTGATTATATGTTTAGGATTTAATCAATTTAATCTTTGATTGTTATCAACCTTAATCAACCCTCCGAATCAAATATACAATACAATTAAGATCATTAAACGGTCTAATTGTCAGTGATTAATCAACAATTGGTTTTGAACATGAAAATGATCAGAAATTAAATCATGATCATTGTTAATTATTGAATCACAATTTAGGTAAAGCGAAAGTTAAAACAATAACAATCAACGTAAACACAAGATGATTAACAATTTAAAATGTTAATTTAATGAATTTCTTGCTCCTGATTCAGTTGTATTCCTTGACCGAGTTAATTTAAAACATAATAGTTAATCATTGGAATCACATCAAGGATAATTAAATTGATGATCGAGTGGCAAGAAAAAGAAAAAGGTTCACCTTCAATGTGCACGGAAGGAAATTGATTGAAATACAACAATTGATGATGAGGAAGAAATTAATTAATGACAATTAGATCCAAAGACTATTAAATCATATGTTGAATGACAAGATGAGGATGATAAAGAAGATGATGGAAATCTATCTTCATGTTCTCTCTTTTTTTCTTTTGTCTCATCTAAAGAAACAAAAGTAAAATGAATTCCCAGAGTTACATGATTTGATTTGATTCTCAAGGATTGATTGATAGTTGATTGTTGTGGTACAAGTTTTTAAACACACCTTGATGGCTGATGTAATTTGTTGAACAATTAATGTTGATTGTTGTTGCAAAGACAATTAATTCACTAATTGTCGGATCTTTTCAGTTTGGTTCCAATGGAAGAGCTTTTTTCTTGGTGAGTTAAGTGGATAACCATTATAACGATTAACTCGTTACCTGATTCCTTTGGTATTTTCCGTGTTTTCTTTAATCATCATTATCGTTGTGAGATTATCTGACAGTCTATTGGTAAGAATAGGAAGAGAAGCCTTGAATATCTTTCGAAAGCGAGAGAAATGAAGGAAATGAGAAGGATAAATCCTTAGGAATAGTGAATAAGTAGGAAGATAATGATGAGATGGATGACTAGATGATGAAAGAGTTTGTTCTCAGGAGAGAGTATTCATCCAAATGAGGTTTCCATTGTTCATCAAATTGATTGTTTATGTTGATTCGTTGTATTATTAAGTCTTTAGGTTCTATTTATATGTAGTTTTGTTTATGTAAGTGGATCTTTCGTCGAATCAGCATCTTTGTTGATTAAGTCTTAATGATCAGATTAGATGAAGAAAATAACAAATTAATTGAGTAAAATTATCTTCTATTTATGTCCATATTATCCACAGCATCTTCTAACCACTCGACGCCCACGACGTTCATTATATTCAGAATTTTGTTGGCGATTCAATGTACATAATTCATCTAATAATTCGTAGAAAGCTTTCCAATGTCTATTAAAACAAAACGAAAAGAAAAAAAATCAAATTAGATCAAGTCGCTAATTGTTAATTGTCATTTAAAAGGTCAATTGTTGTGAGATATTTGATTATCGGTTCAAATTCAATTGTTTGTTTGAATAGGAACCAAGATTGTTGAGCGTAAAGACAAGTTTCACTTTTTTAGGTCATGAACCGGTTAAATAACTGTCTATTATTATTATTATCATTTATAAACTTTAAACCAGAAATTAAAGTCATTAAACTAATTACAATCAACGGGGAAATTAAGTTAGTCTAAAAATTGCTGGTCCGGTAAAGCGACTGGTCAAACGGCTTTAAGATGAAACTAAAATAACATCACTGACCTGGTAACTATTTTTAAATCTTTCTCATCAAATGTTAGTTAAATTTGTTACATTCAATTAAAATCAATACAATTAAAAACTTTAGATCTAAATTGTATTCTAACTGTAGTTACAAATACAAATCTCACCTCAAAGATTGGACAATATGAGAGGTAAGTGAATGTTAATTGAAATCGGTGGGAAGAAATTGTAATGATTGTGAACTAATGCTGATCAACAGCAAATTTTATGTATTTTCACACTAATTGTTACAAATAATCAAGAAGGTGAACATAAATATAAATGAAAGACAATTAATAAACAAAATGGACTCACATGTTAGTAAGAAATGTAACAAGATAAATCGGAAAATAGAAATGATTGTAAAACCAATTCTCTGTTTAAGATAAGCTTGAGACAATTTACTTGACCATGTTAACAAAATTATCACCCAATTGGTTATGATGATTATTAATTATCATGTTTCTAATTAAATCAACATTAATTTGAGAAAAAAAAACTTACCTAATAAATTCACTAATTGAGATAAGAAATGTCCTTAAAAATATTCCAATAAAATACAAATT